CTTATCCAGTCCATCATTGATGGGCATTTGGGTTGGTTCCAAGTCTTTGCTATTGTGAACACTGCCACAATAAACATACCTGTGCATATGTCTTTATAATAGAATGATATATATACCTATGGATATATACCCAGTAATAGGATTGCTAGGTCAAACGGTATTTCTAGTTTTAGATCCTTGAGGAATCATCACAGTCTTCCACATTGGTTGAACTAATTTACACTCCCACCAACAGTGTAAAAGCGTTTCTATTTCTCCACTTTCTCTCCAGCATCTGTTGTTTCCTGACTTTTTAATGATCGCCATTCTAGCTGGTGTGAGATGGTATCTCATTGTGATTTTGATTTGCACTTCTCTAATGACAGGTGATGATTAGCTTTTTTGCATATGTTTCTTGGCTGCATAAATGTCTTCTTTTGAGAAGTGTCTGTTCATATCCTTTGCCCACTTTTTGATGGGGTTGTTTTGTTTTTTTCTTATAAATTTGTTTAAGTTCTTTGTAGATTCTGGATATTAGCCCTTTGTCAGACGGGTAGATTGCAAAAAATTTCTCCCATCCATAGGTTGCCTGTTCACTCTGATAATAGTTTCCTTTGCTGTGCAGAAGCTCTTTAGTTTAATTAGATCCCATTTGTCAATTTTGGCTTTTTTTGCCATTGCTTTTGCTGTTTTAGTCTTTGCCCATGCCTGTGTCCTGAATGATACTGCCTAGGTTTTCTTCTAAGGTTCTTATGGTTTTAGGTCTTACATTTATAATCCATCTTGAGTTAATTTTTGTATAAAGTGTAAGGAAGGGGTCCAGCTTCAATTTTCTTCATATGGTAGCCAGTTTTCCCCAATGCCATTTACTAAATAGGGAATCCTTTCCCCATTCCTTGTTTTTGTCATGTTTGTCAAAGATCAGATGGTTGTAGATGTGTGGTGTTATTTCTGAGGCCTATGTTCTGTTCCATTGGTCTATATATCTGTTTTGGTACCAGTACCATGCTGTTTTGGTTCCAGTACCATGCTGTTTTGGTTACTGTAAGCTTGTAGAATAGTTTGAAGTTAGGTAGTATGATGCCTGTTTTTGGAGGACATTTTCACTGGATTTCTGTTTTATTTTAACATTTTTTTAAATGTCATTTCACTGTGTTCTTATTCCATTTTTCCTAATGAGATGTCAACTCTCATTCTTCTTATTACCTGGATGTATTATTACACAAACATACCCCAATTGCTTTTAAGATTTTGTCTTTACCTTTGGTTTGTGTTTAAATATTTTTCCTGCTTGATATTTGCTGAGTTTCTGGCATCTGTAGTTGATATTCTACATCAATATTGAACATTTTCAAATATTATATTTTCAAATATTTTTTCTCTTTTTTCTATTTCTGAGGCTCCAGTTGTTCATATGTTAGATGGCTTGACATTAATCAGCTTAGGCACTCTGCGTATGATGGCTGTTATGTTTAGTTTTTACTTTCTCTTTTCTTTTTATTTTTCAGTTTGTATAATTTCTATTGATCGGTCTTTTAATTCACTCATCCTTTCTTCAACTATCCAGTATAATATTGTCAACTCAATGAATTCTTAATTTCAAGAAGGATAATTTTCAGTTTTAGAATATTTGTTTCAATTTTTTTAATAAAACTTTCTATTTGTTTACCCATTTTGTCCACCTTTTCTATAATTTTTTAAATTACTCATTAAAGTGATTCTTATTTTTAATTTCAATCTTGGGGTCATCTGTGAGTCTACTTCTACGACATCATTCTCATTACAATCAGTCACGTTTTCCTGTTTTTTTATGTTTGGTTATTTTTTATTGTGTGTTGGACATTATCAATGATATTTGTAGAAATTCTGGGTTATATACCTCCGAATAGTGCTAAGTTTTGTTCTGCTAGGTAGTCAAGTTACTGGCAGGGAAGGTCTATCTCAGGTTTATTCTTGATATTACAGTGTTTTCCTCCAGGGATGTTATCTTTATAGCTTAGATGTTGTCTTTCTGGAGCTCATATTAAATGTCCAGTATGTTCAACAAGGTGGCTCAGCTGGGGTCAGAACTCCAGTATCTCCCCAGCACTTTGCAACTTTAGAAAACTCTGCTCAGCTTTAATTTCATCTTCTGGTTACTGTTGTGTAACAAATTATTCCTAAAACTTAGCAACTTCAAAAACCATTTTATTATACTCTCAGTTTCTGTGGATCAGAAATTTATGCAGGGCAGGGTTCACTTGTCTTTGCTCTACAAAGCAGTCACTGTCTATCAAGACTCAATAGGAGAGAAACAGACTCCACTTCTTGATGGGAGCATGCCAAAGTCATATTTTTAAAGAGCATGTGGGATGACAGATATTGTTTGACCATCTCTACAAAATTCAATCTGCCACAGTCCCCCAGCAGCTGTTATTGGCTTCTCAGTCTTTTGCTAAATATGAGCAAATTGGGATTTGGCCAAGCTCTTAGGGATTTCTAGGGCTTCTTTTCTAAGATTCCCTTTTCTTTTGCACCCTGCCCCTAAAATTCCAGCCACCTGGCAGCCCCAAATTTCTATCTGTATTTCTTCTGCTCAGCAAGACCACCTTCTACTTAAGCTCTGTTTTCCTAAGCTATGGCTTAAAATTGCCCCATGCAGAAAATCAGGGTCAATGTGGAGCTCACCTCCTATGCTCTTCTCAGAGCATCCAGTCCAGTACTGTCCTCTGTTCTGTGTCCAAAAATAGTTGCTTCAAATATTTTGTTCAATTTTATAGTTGTTTAACGTGAGATGATGTGATAGACTGATTCTAAGATGGTCTCCTGTTTTTTCTGACTCCTGATGTTTATGCTTTTGGGTGGTCTCCTCCCCTTGCGTGTGGGAAGGATCTGTGACCTGCTTCTAACCATATAGAATATGCCAAAGGTGATGGGACTTACATGCATATGGGTACCTGATTTCTGAATATGGGTGTATGACATAAGATAGTAGCCCTTGTTCTACTGCAGTCTCTCCCTTTCCCCTGCTGACTTGGAAGAAGCAAACTGTGATGTTATAAGCTGCCTATGGGGAGGGCCATGTAACAGGAAACTAGAGGATAATCTCCGACCACAGCCAATGCACAACTAGGGCTCTCAGTCCATCAGCTTTCAGGGAACTGAAGAGACCCCAGCCATGGCCAATACCTTGATTGCAGTCTTGCAGAGATCCAGTTAAAGAGTGCACAGAATCCTAACCCATAAAAACTATGAGATAATAAATGGGTGATATTTTAAATTATGAAGTTTGTGATACTATCATTATGCAGCAAAAGACAACTAACACAGATAAGTCTGATCCTATCAACTCCTTTGTGATCACTGTTGACAACCATAGACCTCCACGGACCTAGGAAAGGTAAGGAGATGAGGTGTCTTATGCATCATTAATTCTTAACTGAGACCTCCCAATCTCTTTTAGTATATGCCTCAAAGCATTCCCTTGTATCCCAATATCCAACAGTCCATCCTTAGAGCTTCTTTATTCTTTGAATTAAACATTCATTCATTCATTCAACAAAGTTGTACAAAGTCTCCTATATGACAGTCCCTGTGCTTGGCACTGAGGAACCAAAGATGAGTTAAGCATTGTCCCTGCCTTCAATAAAGGCACAATGCAATTCACTTTATATATTTATCTCATTCAATATTCACAATAGACTTATGAGGTGGGTACCATTATTGTCTGCATTTGCAAAATTAGGAATTAACACTCAAAAAGGTTGACTCAGTCATCACAGGCATACAGCTAATATGTAGTATAATTGGGTGATAATTTGAACTCATGATTTTTTATGCCAAAGTCTTCCCATTACATCATGCTAAATTACTGCCTAGTGTGGAAGATAGGCAAATGAAAAAGGTTATTATGATTCAGTGTGATGAATACTCTACCAGAGGGAGCAAGGAGAGACTGAGGAGCAGAGAGAGGAAAGTTTTGGAATCAAGAAAAGTTATCATGGGAAGTGGACAACTGAACTGGATCTTTTTGGCTATCAAAGAGAGAAGCAGTGCTGGGTCAGAGAGAGCAGTAGGAGGGCAGAGCCACAGAACGTGGCACTTGCTGGGGAGAATTCACTCAGTCATGGTGGTGGAAGTGTGGAAGAGTGGCCTGCAGGGGAGGATTCCAGTCATTAGAACAAAAGTGCAGGACAGGAACTGGATGGTGAAGTTCTGCCTCACGGTGTGAGGAAGCATAGCAGCATGATTCAGGCCACTGGAGGCATGGGACTTCTGACCATAGGGGAATCTGGGACATCCAGTGTCAGCCACTCTGCACCAGGCATGCCATGGCTGCCCCCCTACTATACCCACTAAAAGAAAATGGTTCACCCATGGCCTTTGTTGAAGAGGAGGTATATGAAACCATGACTGTACAAATGACCTCATGCCTCTGTCCACAGATGATCAGCGCAGGACTAGACATGCGTTTTGCTTTCCTTCCAGGTCCTTGTAATTAGCACACCACACCAGGAGACAGTGCAGGTGTGGCTGTGGCACAGACCTTGAGGATCAGGACTGTCATGGGCACCAAGGCTGTCCCAGCCACAGATGAGCTTAGTTACCAGAGCATCCAACAAGCCACAAAGCAGCCAGTCTACAGCGGGAAACAGAAGAATACAGCAGAAACCCTGAGGGATGCTGGGGTGATACTGAGACCCCAAAGGGACAGAGGAAGAAAGAAGGCCTGAGGAACTCCCCCCAGACTCCCTGTTTCTCACAGGGTCAAGTTGTACATCCTGCTCCTCAATGCCAAAAGAATGCCCTACATAAAAAAAGAAAAAAAAAAAAAAAAACACTTCTACACATGAATTAGTTTGACTAGGTTGCTGTTTGTTATAATGATTGCCTCCTGCTCTGGTCAGGACTCTTGACTGCGAGTGACAGAAACCCCACACTGACTTGTTCCATCATAAAGGGATGTGTTCACTCACATAACTGAGAAGGATGGGGCGGGAGTGGGGTTGATGGCATCCCACACAACCGAATCCAGGACTCACCCATCCCCCGGTGAGCCATCCTGCTGGCAGCCTAGAGTCACAGTCTTCCCAGAAGGCGACCCCATGGGAAGAGACAGTCTTTCCACCGCCTACAGGAGAAAAATCCTGGCGAAGAATCATGCCAACCCCTGTGAGCTGCAGAAGACCTGAGGACCAGGTACGTTTCCCAAAAAGAAAGAAAAAGGAGGTCTCTGCTGCCTGGGAGGCCAGCCCGTGAAGGACCAGCCCTGAGGAGGACTAGCCCGGAGGAGGGCCAGCTCCAGGAGTGCCAGTCCCGTGGAGGGCCAGCCCCGTGGGGTGCCAGTCCTGTGGAGGATCAGCCCTGAGGAGGGCCAGCCCCTTGGGGTGCCAGCCCTGTGGAGGGCCAGCCCCGTGGGGTGTCAGCCCTGTGGAGGGCCAGCCCCGTGGGGTGCCAGTCCTGTGGAGGGCCAGCCCTGTGGGGTGCCAGTCTTGTGGAGGATCAGCCCTGAGGAGGACTATCCCGGAGGAGGGCCAGCCCCAGGAGTGCCAGTCCCGTGGAGGGCCAGCCCTGAGGAGGACTAGCCCCGAGGAAGGCCAGCTCCAGGAGTGCCAGTCCCTTGGAGGGCCATCCCCGTGGGGTGCCAGCCAGCCGAGCCGCAGACGCAGCAGCCCCGGCAGACGCCACGTGGGTCAGGACTGAGAAATGTGCGAGAATAAAATGGTTGTTTTAAGCCACTGAGTTTGGGGTGGCTTTGTTTCATAGCAAATATTAATAGATACCCCGAACAGCAGCTTTGGCGAGGGCCACGCACAGCGCAGGTCCGACCTGGGAGCCCTGCAGGGGCGGGACGGGGGCTGGGGGAATCTGGTCGGGCCCAGGGCGCCCTTCCCGACCCCAGCCCGGAAGCCGCGTTGTCGCCCCTGCCGCGCAGGCCGCAGAGCCAAACGCGGGGCTCTATCTCCCCTTGGCGGCGCAGAGCTGGCACTGCAGAGCGGTGCCTGCCAAGGCCGCGCCCCCGCGCCACCTGCCCGCCCTATTCCTGGACCCGGAGCTGGCCCCTGGCCCCAGAGGCTCCCCGCTGCCAGGAGAGCCGAGCTGTGAGGCCGGGCCTGCGGCTGTACCAGCCCTGGCTGCCGGGGCCAACGAGAGTGCCAGCTCCTGGTGCTCAACCGGGCTGCCAACGGGGTTGGAGAGGACAGCAGGAAGCACTTTCCTTAAATGAGGGGCTTCTGGAGAGCAGCTGGAAGCAGGGCTGGCACTGGAGGGGCTGCCTTAGATATGCCTGCCCAGGAGCTCGGCCAGCACAGAGAGGCCTTTCCCTCATCAGCACTGGGCCTTGCAGGGCCAGATGAGGACAGTCCCGGAACAGGAATGAGGCTCTGGAGGCTAAGGGGTCAGCCAGCCCCTCCCTCCTCCCACAGGAAATGCCGACCAGGTGGAACGTCTGGATCTGTGCATGTAGTAAAATGTGCATAACAAGAAGTTTGCCACTCTCACCGTGTTGAAGTGTCATTAAGCAAACATCCCCACCTGCCGTCTCCAGAACTCTTTGCCTCTTTCCAAACTGAAACTCTACACCCACAAAACACTAACTCCCCCTCCCCGCTTCCTCCAAGTCCCTGGCACCCACCGTTCTACCTTCCATCTGTATGAATTTGCCTATTCGGGGTCCCCATGTAAGTGCAATCTTACAGCATTTTGTGACTGGTTTCTTTCACTCAACATAATGTTCTCAAGGTTCATATTCGCTGCAGATACATGCTGTGTTTTGTTTATCCATTCATCAGTCGGTGGACACCTGGGCTGCTTCCACCTTTGACTGTTGTGAATGATGCGCTGTGAACGTGGGTGTACAGATGTCTGTTTCGCTCCCTCCTTTCACCTCTCTCTAGACATTGTAAAAAGGACTCTTTTACCTCTTCCTCTGTTGACTAGAAAATGCAGAGATGTGAACCTGCCTACCCACCCCACTCCCTGTACTAAAGGCTGGCTGGAGATCAAAAGCCCCACTCCTAGCCCCTTGCCTTTCCCACCAGGTTAGTAGTAGTGAACGCTGACAGCAGTGACCACGTGGTACTGCCTTACAGACACTAATTCCCACAGCAGCCCTGGGAGGGAGGCATGATTATCTTCCTACTTTACAAATAAAGAAACTAAGACTCAGAAAGGGCCTTGGCCCCACTGAAGTCACCGGCTGATAGGTTGCAGGGTCACAACTTGAAAGCCTAAGTGTTGATACCGTTTCTCCATCTTTCATCTTTTCCTTCCCCTACTGGACAAATCTCAAGCAGTCCTTCCCCTAAGGGAGGCTGTGTGGTGCACAGCTGACCCTCCCAGATAAGCACCAGCACGAGTTACCCTGGAAGCTGAAGGGTGTCCCAGCCACTCTCCCTGGCCCCAACTCAGGACAGCAGAGAGGACTCTGCAGTGGCTTCCAGGTGATGTTAGGGAAAGGAGACGAAGGCCTCTCCCAGCCAGCACCTACTCATTCTCACCTCGCTGGATGGGTCACCCTTGCCAAGAGGCAGAGCCCTGCAGCAACTTGCAGGCAGCTTTGGCCATGAGCCCTGCCAGTGCTCCCTGGGAGGTCAGGACAGGGCCAGGTGGGTCCCAAGGTCCAGAAGGAAGAGTCTCAGTCTTCCAGAGCAGCCATTGGCAGAAAGTCCCAGGGGACACAGACACTTTGCTCCACTTGACAGGTCTTTGTGTTCAGTCTCCCTTGACCAGATCCAGGAGAGGAACGGGTGACATGTGAATGCCTGGTTCAGCATCCAACCCCCTAGGAACCCCCAACAGGGAAGAGAGGATTCACCTGGGGAATGACTGGACCTCATGCCACAAGGAGGACGCCTTGACAATTGACCCAACATCAGGCCACCAGCCAACAAGGCCCAGCAGCAAAGGGCCCAAGGACCAAATCCCCTGTCCACAGGAGGTGTCTATTGCCCCAGTGCTGGGGTGGGGGATGAGAAGTAGGGGCAGGTTTCTTCACAGTCCTAAGGAATAGATGTGTGTGTTCTCTGCTCTGAGTTTTCAGAAGCTCAAGCTCCAGTCTCAGCATAAACACACTAAACACACACATACACACACACACACACACACACACACACACACAACCTCAGAGCCACACACCTGGAAGACCATCCCATCTAGTCACAGGTTTAACTGGATGATTTCAGAGTCTGTGAACGCTGAAACGCAAATGAAATGAGGCCCAGTGGGGATTTTTGGGGGCAGAGTCCATAGCTTTCACATGTATGAGGTGGTTCATGATGCAGGAACTGTCCAGACCCCCAACACCCCTGGACAGCAGGGCCAAGCCCAGATCCCAGTCAGCGGGGCCCCAGGAGGGTGCAAGAACCCTCCACAACCTCTGCAGCCCTGGCCTCAGGAGGTAAGAGGACTGGCTGCTGAAGTGGGAGGAGGGTGGAGGGGAAGGGAGCCCGGCTGCACATGGCCATGAATGCTTCCTCGAGAAAACAGCTTCTTGCTGGAAATGAAACTGGCCCAATGGTCCCACGGGCCTGATATGTATGGGTTTTTTTGAATAAACATAAAAATTGACCCTCCCTGGTCTTACAACTTGAAACTTAGTTATAAGAATCCCAGCACTTTGGGAGGCTGAGGTGGGTGGATCATGAGGTCAAGAGATCGAGACCGTCCTGACCAGCATGGTGAAATCCTGTCTCTGCTAAAAATACAAAAATTAGCTGGGCGTGTTGGTGCACACCTGCAGTCCCAGCTACTCCAGAGGCTGAAGCAGGAGAATTGCGTGAACCTGGGAGGCAGTGGTTGCAGTGGGCTGAGATCGTGCCACTGTACTCCAGCCTCAAGACAGAGCAAGACTCCTTAAAAAATAAATAAATAAATAAATAAATAAATAAAAGAAAAAAGAAAAGAATGTTTTACTTGACTTCCTTCCTGGAAACCATCTCTCAGGCAAGGGACTGAAACTCACAAGCTCATCACATGCACCCCTCATTCATTATGATTGCTTCCTTACCCTCCTAAGTCCTATATTACCACTTTCACTGCTATTAAATATCACAATAGTAGTTGGTCAAGGAGATGGATTTGAAACTGAATTCCCGTTCTCTCAGCTGATATCCCCAAATAAAAAGCCTCCTTCCCTAACAATACTCATCTCTGGCCTGCAACGGGGCCCAGACCAAACCCCTAGTGTTTTTGATGACACAAAGAGTACTTTGAATACTGTAAACTTCAACAAATATACGGAGAGTAAATGAAGAGAAAATTGCCTTGGTCAAAAACATAAGGAATTCATGCATAAAAACAATAGAAAAAAAGGTTTTCCCCAAGACTCCTTAAAGATTTCATGTATTTAGAGCTAGTTTTACATACATAACAATTACAGAGTTAAAAAAAATTACTTATGTTCTTTTGAGTCAGTTATGCAATTGGGAAAAGCCCAAGAAAAAAGATTACGGAAAGCAGTTCGGTTTCATTCACATTGAGCAGTAGGCCAACAAGCAGAGTTTTGAAGGCATCCAAGTTTCAGGATTTAAATTCTGCCCTCTGTGATTAACTATATGGAAAAACTTTCGTCATTGAATGGTTCAACCATGTACATCTTTTACATAACGTCCTAAGTTAGCGGATGATCAGTAAAATTACAAGCAAGAAACAGCCCAAGACAAAGAAGAAAGAAAGAAGGAGAGAGAGAGAGAAAGGGAGAGAGACAGAGAAAGAAGGAAAGAAGAAAGAAAGAAGGGGGGGAAGAAAGAGGAAAGAAAGAAAGAAAGAAAGAAAGAAAGAAAGAAAGAAAGAAAGAAAGAAAGAAACAAGGAAAGGGAGGGAGGGAAGGAGGGAGGGAGGGAAGGAAAGAAGGAAAGAAAAGAAGAAAGAAGAAAAAAAAAGAAAGAAAGAAAAAGAAAGAAAGAAAGAAAAGAAAGAAAGAAAGAAAGAA